TATCACAGAGCCCAGTTTTATAGATCGCCACGAAAGGATACACACTTTGAAACGTGGACACCCCAAGGTATTGCATGTGGAGTGCTTTGATGCAACCTTTTTTTCTTTTTTTTATAGCCAGACCAAAAATAAATAAATAAAATAAAACAGTTGAAGAACGTGTGTGGAGGTAACTGTTCAATCCTCATTTTCACACACACACACAAACACACTGCTTTTTGACTGTGACTTAGGAGAGCACGCTGTTGGTTATTGCAAGAACACACCCCAGGGGGTTTTCTGCAAGGCTTCTCCTTAGGACACCCATGCCCCCCATGCATAGGCTCGCCAGGATTTTGGGAAGGTATGGTTACAATTGTATGACTTTTCAGTTTGAGTTGAAATTGAGAGTAGTTCTTCTGATAGGCCTATCTTTAGCTTGGGGCTTATCACAGAGCCCAGTTTTATAGATCGCCACGAAAGGATACACACTTTGAAACGTGGACATCCCAAGGTATTGCATGTGGAGTGCTTTGATGCAACCTTTTTTTCTTTTTTTTATAGCCAGACCAAAAATAAATAAATAAAATAAAACAGTTGAAGAACGCGTGTGGAGGTAACTGTTCAATCCTCATTTTCACACACACACACAAACACACTGCTTTTTGACTGTGACTTAGGAGAGCACGCTGTTGGTTATTGCAAGAACACACCCCAGGGGGTTTTCTGCAAGGCTTCTCCTTAGGACACCCATGCCCCCCACGCATAGGCTCGCCAGGATTTTGGGAAGGTATGGTTACAATTGTATGACTTTTCAGTTTGAGTTGAAATTGAGAGTAGTTCTTCTCATAGGCCTATCTTTAGCTCGGGGCTTATCACATAGCCCAGTTTTATAGATCGCCACGAAAGGATACACACTTTGAAACGTGGACACCCCAAGGTATTGCATGTGGAGTGCTTTGATGCAACTTTTTTTCTTTTTTATAGCCAGACCAAAAATAAATAAATAAAATAAAACAGTTGAAGAACGCGTGTGGAGGTAACTGTTCAATCCTCATTTTCACACACACACACACACACACACTGCTTTTTGACTGTGATTTAGGAGAGCCCGCTGTTGGTTATTGCAAGAACACACCCCAGGTGGTTTTCTGCAAGGCTTCTCCTTAGGACACCCATGCCCCCCATGCATAGGCTTGCCAGGATTTTGGGAAGGTACGGTTACAATTGTATGACTTTTCAATTTGAGCTGAAATTGAGAATATTTCTTCTGATATGCCTATCTTTAGCTTGGGGCTTATCACATACCCCAGTTTTATAGATCGCCACGAAAGGGTACATACTTGAAACGTAAACACCCGAGGTATTGCATGTGGAGTGCTTTGATGGAACTTTTTTTTTAGCCAGACAAAAAAAATAAAAAATAAAACAGTTGAAGAACGTGTGTGGAGGTAACTGTTCAATCCTCATTTTCACACACGCACACTGCTTTTTGACTGTGATATAGGAGAGCCCGTTGGTTATTTGCAAGAACACACCCCAGGTTGTTTTCTGCAAGGCTTCTCCTTAAGACACCCATGCCCCCCATGCACGGGGTAAATGTAACAACCCCCCCCCTCAAAAAAAGACACACAAAAAAAACTGAACGGCAAATGTTAAAAAATAAATTAAAAAATGGACCAGCGTGTGGTATCGTTTGAAGCAGTTGCCAATGCAGAGTCCAGGCTGTCCAGGGCAATCAGGACAGTAATATACATTATCTTTTCTCTGCCCCCTCTTAGAACAGACCCTGCATCTTTTTTGGGGATTCTGCTTTGCCGTAGTAGGGGGGATTTTAAAAATAAAATGTGTAGCCCCAACTCTGCTCTCTCCCATCACCGCCTGGGGAGCAGGTGCATCACAGTACAAAATACCCGAAATGATCTGGAGCTGAAACTGTAAAAATCTCAGTTGCGTACCGGGGTTTGCTTTTTTGAACAACAAAAAAGCGTTGTGGGTTGCAGTCTGCATTAGGTAGATTGCAACCTTTTTGTACCAGGCCCTTGTCTTTCGTATAATTAGGTAGGGCTGCAGCAGCTGATCTGCCAGATCAACCCCACCCATATGCCGGTTATAGGCCTTGATGCACACTGGCTTCCTTGTCCTCTCAGCTCTGCCACGTACAGGGACCTCCACAGTCCCCTCAGTGTGGATGCTGGTAAGAAGGTACACATCCTTCTTGTCTCTGTACTTAACTGCCAACAGCTCCTCTTGGCGCAGAGCTGAGGTCTCCCCCCTTCGTAGCCGAGTGCGTGCAAGTTGTCCTGGGAAACCTGTGCTGTTCTTTTTAATTGTGCCGCAAGCTACTGTATCAAAACAGTACAGTAGCTTGAACAAAGGGACACTTGTATAAAAATTGTCAGTATACAAGTGGT